TCAGCTTGATTTTGTATTTTAATTATAATTAATGATTACTGTTTTATTATCTTGATAATATACTTATTTCTTAAACTCTGGCTTTTATTCTGCCATTTTGAAAAATAATTGCATACCTTTTCTCTCACAATATTTACTCTTGGGAAAGTTGAGAATTATATATCATTCCTCACAGAAAGTTAACTTTTTTTCCTGTTAAACAGTATTTTTAGATAATTTCTTTATTGCCTTGGTGAGGCAAGCCAGATTAAGTCAGAGGAGAATGTTTAATGGAATGTTCCAGAAAGTTGTCTTATTTCTTCACTTTTGTGAATGGACACAGAAGCTGTGCCTATTTATTTCATGGATTCTAGGTTAACTTGTACAGAAAGGCCATCATACTGTTCTTTGAAATGTACATGTTTTCGGTTAATTTACAAACTACTTGAAAAGCTGGGCATTGCCTTCATTTTTCTTTCATTTAAAATATGCTGTAAAGGTGTAGAAATACTCAGATCCTATAGAGTATGTACACCCAAAATAGACTTGAGAAAATTATCTTGATCCTGCCATTGGATTTTAAAAACAGTTTCACTGAGAGATAGTTCACACGTCAGACAGTTCACCCATTTAAAATGTACAACTCGGCGTCTGTATATTCACAGCGTTGTGTAACCATCACCACAATCAATGTTAGAACATATCCACCCCTCTGAAAAGCAACCCCACGTCTCTTAGTCATGACTGCAGCCCCTCTCCATGCCCTCTACCTACCCCAGTTGTAGGCAACCACCATCTACTTTTGTCTCCACAGATTTGCATGTTCTTCTTATGTTATATACATAGAGTCATACAATGTGAAGTCCTTTATGACTGGCTCTTTCACTCAGTGTAATGTCTGCAGAAGTTTATCCATGTCGTAGCACATATAAGTGGTTTATTTCTTCTTATTGTCAAAGAATAGCCTGTTTCATGACCACACTGGTCTTCCATTCATTCATCAGTTCATGGACCTTTAGGTTTTTTCCCACTTTGGGGCTACTATGAAAACAGCTGCTGTGAACGCTCATTTACAGGTTATTGTATGGACATATGTTTTTATTTCCCTGCCATTGGAATTTATCCTCAGAGTTAACTGAGCAGATTTCAGCAACAGTCTTACTCATACTGCCCAGCCTGTCCCTCCTGCCTTCTCAGTTTCTGTTCATCTAGCCTCATTCGCTCAGACCTGGCAGACAATTTCCTCTTCTTCATGAAGCTCTCTGACTGTTCTGACTCTCATTGACCCTATGTCTCAGCTCTTGTTGTTGTCCAGTCTGTGCAGAACAATTTAGCCCTCAATTTTACGGGGCTTTAATTTTTCTATGGGAGATAATTTTGTCTCATTNTGATATTTTCTTGAGTGCTAGCTAAACATTTCTTTTGTTTTATTTAGGATTTTCAAAGTCATGGAAAAAAGAAGGATGTCATGTATGAAAATTGCATGTTGAAGAGAGATACTGCCATACTCAGACGGAAATTATACACAATAAAAAATGCCAGTCTCAGAAAGGAAAAGAAACGTATTCAGGAAATTAAAAGTATCCAAGAAATAAATGCTAACTTTCAAAAGAGCGTAAGACTCAATGAGGAAATGATAACAAAAACAATATCACAGTATTGACAACAGCTTAATGAACTCAAAGCTAAGAATAAGAGGCTGAATTCAGAATTGGAGAAGGAAAAACACATCAAGGACAGATTGGAAGCTGAAATTGCATCCCTCCATTCCATCCTGGCTGCTGCTGTAAATGGGCACAAGGAAAGGGTGAAAACAAAATACCTACAAGTTGCTTTACAGAGAGCACAAGATGTTTCTGTACAAGAAATAATGACTTCTAATATTTCTCAACTAAAAGATAAGAATGAGCTGCTTACAGGACAATTTTCTAAAGCTCAGATGAAGTGCAATACCTTAAAAGAGAAGCTCCATGAGACGAGAGATGCTCTCAGGGAAAAGACATTGGCTTTAGAAAGTGCAGAGAGGGACCTAAGGCAAAAGCAGCATCGAATAGAGGAAATGGAGCAGATGCATCTAAATGAGGAAGCTAAACAGAGTCAGTTCATTGCAAAGCAGAACTGTGTAGAGGAGAGAATACGTCAACTAGAACGTGAAAATCTCTTGCTTGAACAACGACTAGAGGCTGCTTGTAAGGAAGGCAATAATGAAAAGATAGTAATTAATACTCAAGGAGGCTGTCTTGAGAGTGGAAAAGAAGGCCTTCTTCTAGAAGAGAAAAATAAAGAATTGATGAATGAATATAATTATTTAAAAGAAAAACTGTTTCAGTATGAAAAAGAAGAAGCAGAAATAAAAGTAAGTATGAAGAAAGAAATATTTTTAACCTTCTGGAAAGAAAATGTAAACTTTTCATTTTGGCTGTATGTTGAACCTAGTTCAATATTAAAAAGTAAATAGATGGAAGTGTGTTTATCATACTGTACAATTCCAGTGACATGAAACATCCAGAAAAGACGTGTGCAGGAACAGAAAGTAGGTGAATGTTTGTGTAGGGCTGGGGCTGGAAATGGGTAGTGACTGCTAATGGGCATGAGGGATTGTCCTGGACTGATGAAATGTTCTAAAGTTGGATTGTAGAGATGGTTGCACAACTCAGTACCTTTACTAAACATCTTTGAACTGTATGTGAAAACAGATAAATTTTATAGTATGTAAATCATATTTCAACAAAGCTTTTTTTAATCAACCCTCCCCCCCAAAAAAAAATATGTTTTCTGCATTAGCTTGAAAACATACTTTGTTTCCAGGAGATAAAAGGTAGAGCTGACAGAGGCTTTACTTTGAGTAAAGACATTGTGTCACCTATGAAATTTTAGTAGATGCAGAGTAATGTTGATGAGGTATGTAGTCTTATACTGCTGAAATAATAAATTGAATGTCTTTATGTTGCCACATTTTAAGACCATAATGAAGCAGATACGTGGAAATGCTTGTACCTGAAATGAATATTTTGAAATTAAGATTCAATTAAGTGAGATTCTTTGACATTTAATTCTAGATTTCCCAGATGAACTGAAGTGTGTTGCTGTGTCTTATGATGCTTTCCCTTCAGTAGCTCTTGTATATATTTTAGTTAGTATAACTTTGTTTTGATTCCTGTCAAGGTGACTTAAGTCTCAAAATGGGTCAGTCTCACATTATGTATTTTTTCTGACCGCTTAATATTTTAAAGACATCTACTTGTCATGAAATCACAATTTGGAACAAATGTGGTAAATTTTAGCAAAACATATATGATCTAATATTCCAGCCGGTAGGTATTTATAACTTAGAGTATTTTTATTAATAATTAGCTCATAATTTACATTTTAAGTCTCAGTGACTATCATTTGGATATAATTTTTCCCAGTACAAAGATACTTGCAGCTGTCTGTGATTTATGGGTTTGACATTGGATCCCCATTTTCAGACTAATGAGGGGCGGTAGAGTGCATGTAGAGTGGCAATGAAGTGAGTACGTGACAGAGCTGTAGGGGCTGAGCTCAGGGAGGGCGGTAGAGGCCATGTTACCTAGGACCTTGAAGGCCATTGGAATTTTACGTTTATCCTGAGATAGGAATCTGTTGGAAGGACTTGAACCTGTGACTGAATATGTGAGAAACTCAGGTTGAGTTGAAGGTCTAAGATGAATGAATAGCAGGCTGAATCAATCTGTCACATAAATAAGAGAATACCAATTTGGTGGGAACATAACACCTTCTGTGTTCCTCGCTGAATTCAGTAATAAACAAGAATGTGTACATATGAGGAAAAGAGAGTCTGTGTGTGTGATAGTAATTTTCAAAGTATGTACGTTAGAGTTAAATATTATGAACATAATTTAATAATATGGAAATGTATAAAATTAGTAACAAAAATATTTTTTCAGGTGATTGTGAGACACCTTCAAGAAGAACTGGCTGGTAGCCTTAAAAAAGTGTCTATGCCAGAGTCTCCGCTGGAAGGT